CCCGCTCAGACGGTGCTTTCCAGCATCCACTCCGTGCTGCTGAAGGTGACCCGCCGGGGAGTCAAGGCGCCCTCTTCCGAGTTCAACTGGGAGGTGGAGAGGTGCCTTTTTGTCCGTGCCCGGCGGGGGTAGCTGTGACTCTGGAAGAGGGAGTAATCCCCGTCGAAGGAGTGGCGGTGGTGGTGAGTCCTGGAGAGCTCGCGGGGGAAGACCCCGGACCGGCTGCCCCCCAGCTTGGCCCGGAGCGGCGGCCCCGCCCCAGGGTCCTTGAGGAGGGACAAGGAGACCGAGGAGGAGGCGGCCAGGGTGGCAGCGCCGTCCGCCTTCCCTTCGTCGGAGGTCAGGAGGGCCACCGTGCGGAGGTCCGAGGCCCTCCGGGCCAAGCTCTTCCCCACTTCCGTCAAGGCGGCGTCCTGCCCGTTGGGGATGTCGCCCTTGGCCCCTCCTCCGCCCAGCAGGGCCTCCTTGGGGGCCACCTCTTGCAGCGTCTCATACTTGTCCTCCCCGGCCTTGGAGGACGAGAGGGGCGCCGCGCTGGTGGCCGCCGGTTGGCTCCCGTTGGTTTGCGAGTAGACGTTGCTGACTTTGGCTTTCTTGTGCTCGTCTTGGCCGCTGTAGACCTTGTAGCGGATCATGAGGATGATGATGAAGACCAGGACGGAGGCCACGATGATGCCCCCAATGATGATGATCATGGTGCCCCCCAGGAACTGGGTGTGGAGCGAGTGGCACTGGGCCGCCTCCCCCTCGGTGGTGAACTGCACACAACCCACCACGCGCGTGGCCGTGAGGGACGTCACCCCATCGTCGTAAACGGCCAACACGCAGAGGTCGTAATCCCGGCCGGCGGCCAAGTCATTGACCAAGAAGGTCTTGCTGGAGGAAGGAATCATCCTAAGGGGGAAGAGACACAAGAAGGTGAAGAAATGGCTTATTCAGGAGGAGGAAGAGGAGGCATACAAGCACCGTCTCTCTCTCACACACACACTCACCCTCACACACACAGAGACACACACAGAAACAGACACAGACACACAGAGAGAAAGAGAGAGAGAGCGCGAGAGAGAGAGAGAGAGCCCTCCCCCAGGCCTTCCTCTCCCATGTTCAGAACAATCCACACACAGGTTCAATTCCAGTGTGCCTTTGTTTAGAGGCTACAGTTCTGGGGGGGGGAGCAGCCCAAAAAAAGAGAACACGTTTCAGGATGGGCTTTCCAACAAGCTAAAACTGCAACTGGGGGCTGCCTGAGCAAGATCTCTCCGGAACAGAACAAGGGCTGGCCGGCATTGAGGGTGGCCAGCGAGCCTCCCCGGACTTGCTGGAACACCTTGGCCAGGAATTCCCCAGCCCTGTGAGAGACTTTGCCTTTCGGGCAGGAGCCAGACAAGGGCTTCTTTTTCCTTCCTTCCTTCCTTCCTTCCTTCCTTCCTTCCTTCCTTCCACCCCTTCCTTCCTTCCTTCCTTCCTTCCTTCCCTCCACCCATCCATCCTCCCCTTCCTTCCTTCCTTCCTTCCTTCCTTCCTTCCTTCCTTCCTTCCTTCCTTCCCTCCCCCCAAACAAGGTCTCTGCAATTTGCACAAAAACTCGCTGCAGTGAACCAGGTGCCCTTTGCTTTCGATGAGCAAAGCGCAGGAGGGGGGGGCTGTTGAAAGAGATGCAAAACCCCACCCATGGCGAGGCATCCGAGCAGGAGCCATCCACACAAGGCCATGCTCCCTGAGGGGAGGGTTTTCGGGGATGGCACCAGGAAAAGCCACCAGCCCACCCGCTTCTTGCCCCTTGCTGCAGGCAAGGAGGTTGGCCGTCCTCTGCAGCTTCCGCTTCCCTGCCTGGGAGGACGAGGCGGTCGAGGAGGCGGTGGTGCCCTTTGGGGCCTGGATGAGCCTGCTGGAAACTGAGGGGGTCTTTTCAGAACCCAGAGCGCAGGTGACTGGCCGTGCAGGGATTTAGGGGTTCATGCGGTGAAGCTGTTCCTTACAGGTAGCCCATCGTGGGTAGAGATAATCGGTTAACTCCTGGGATGATTTGATGGTACCCCCGAGATGGCCTGTCTCAGCTGAGGGAGGGGTCGGGGAGAAGGGAAGGGAGCCCTCGGCAGGCCGGCTTTGCCTCGTGGATCCTAGGGCCGGTCCGGCCACCCTCGCTTGCTGCGGCCTCCTGCCTCACCTGCTGACAAACTGATGGAGCCTGAAGGGAGGAAGAGGCCACGGAGCCATCCAGCTGCACAAGGAACTAGAGCTGATGTCCCTGGCTTTCATGCTGCCAAGGGCCTGATCCTTCCTCTGTTCCCAGCTCAGCACCTCCTATCCTCCCTCCCTCCCTCCCTCACACCTGTTTTCTGGCAAAAAGTTTTCTGGCATTTCACCTGAAATGGATTCATTTCTGTCCAGCTTTTCTACAATGCCATTCCACTGTCTGCTGAAAAGCGAGAAGGGTCTTTAGAACTGAGTTGAATAAATTAATAATCACCACCAAACTGGTTTTGTTTTGTAAGTTGCTGAATACAGACGATGACCTACAAGATCACAACGCCGTTTGAAAGCTAACGTGACAATGATACGCCAATTAAGCCCTTGGGAACGAGGCAGCCATCCAGTGACAACATTCGCCTTGGAGTATTTCCCACCAAACTCAACGAAGCCCCTTCCCACGTGGGCAGCCACGGGGAGGTCCCGGTTGCTAGGCTGCAAGCAAAGGGGGCTTGGCAGCGAAGCCTGCTGGGGCCCTAACTGGTAGGGCCGCCAGCAGGCTGGGTCCTGCTTCAGGAGACTGGCAAAGCTGCCAGCTGGCACGGTTCGAGCTGACTTCTCAGACAGGTGCCCAGAGCGATGCCTCACCACCACTATGGGGCTTTGAGGGGGGGGGCTATGTTATGACTCCAGGGTCTTTGTCATGAGCTTGGAAAAAAGGGGGGGCTGGTCTACCACTCCTGGTTTGGTCCGCAAACCCCAGAATCACCCGTGTGCAGAGCTGCCCTGAAAGCTGGTGAATTCTGGGAAATGTAGTTTGTGCTTCAGGTTTTGCCTCCTCCCGTCTGGCGGAGCAACCTGGGGATTCTGAGCTCAGCGGGAGGCCGGTATGGCCTCTCCTAGAGTCCTGCTCATGTGCCCTGGAGGCCTCCTGGCACCAAGCCTGCCCATCTCCACCCCGCAGGCGCCTTCTTCTCCCGAGGGGCTCAGCACAGTGCTGAGGAGTGAGGAGATGGCGTGGCGGGCGGGGGGGGGAGAGGTGCCCACTTAGGCTGAGCTGTCAGCAGGAGAAGGACAACTTCATAGACACCCAGGGTGGGACAAAAAGATCATTCCGCCAGTGAATGGGGGAAACGGTGTACAGTCAAGAAAAATGTGTGAATAATTGTTTCCATTAGGAGAAAAACTGCAAACCAGTCCCTATGCAGGATGGAAGAAGAAAACCTCAGAACCAGACACAAAACAGGCAGGTGGGATCCGGAGAAACCCAGCTGAAGCTCAGAGCTTTTCCCCTTGGAAAGGCTGGGCTGTGCAGCACCGCCTGCAAACTGTCCAAACAGTTCCGACCCGTTTCATTCACCTGTAAACCAAAGAGTCATCCAGGGAGCTGTTGTACTGGATCTGGTACATACGGATGCCAGGGATGTGGCGCTCGGAGGGCCAGTGGATGACCACTGAGGTGGACGTCAGGTCGGCTGCGACGATCCTCTTGTCGAGGTGGTTCTTGGTGTCGTTGGCGCCTGACTTCATGGAGGTGGTGATGTCCGAGGAGCCCGGGTCAGGCTCTTTCATGTGGCCAGTGTTGTTCACCAGCAAGGGGAGGGGGACGATGCAGATTTCCACCTGGGCGGTGGCCTCTCCAGCAGCGTTGGAGGCGATGCAGGTGAAGATGCCATTGTCCTTCAGAGTTGTGATGAGGACATCCAGCGTGCCATTGTCGTAGACCGTCAACCGCGTGGTGTTGTGGATCAGCTTGCCGTCGGGTGCGATCCAGTGGATGGAAGGCTCTGGGTCACCCACTGCTTTACACTTGAGGCTCACACTTTGCCCTTCCATAATGAAGGACTTGCTAGAGTATTGGCGGGTGATGAGGGGAGGTTCGCAGATAAACTCTTCCTCAGGGATCGACCAGAAATACTTGTCCATTAGGTGCTCTGGGGAGGCACAGGTCTCCAGGTCGTCCTCTCGGGTGAGCCTCCGGAGCCAGAGAAGCTCACAGTTGCAGTGCAAGGGGTTGCCCCCAAAGCTGATGGTCAAGGTAGAAGGGTGAGTGCCACGGGCGTTGGCCAACACTTGAGCCCTCAAGAAGAGGCTGTCCGGGGGCAGCTTCTGCAGCCGGTTGGAAGTCATGTCCAACCTCACAAGCTTCTGGAGCTGGGAGAAAGTGCCCTCGGCGATGTGGTCAATGAGATTGTGGTCGAGAGTGAGAGTGTTGAGGCTCACCATTTGGCCAACGGCCTCCCAAGGCAGTGTCACCAGGTTGTTGTAGGAGAGGTCCAGGTCCTCCACGGTGGAGAGGAACTCGTCAAAGGAGGAAGGTTCGATGCTGCTGATCTGGTTGTTCCCGAGGATGAGGTGCCGAAGGTTGCTCAGCCCTCGGAAGTGCTCATTCTTCAGGACAGCCAAGCGGTTGCTGTTCATGTGCAAGGCCCGTAAGGCACGCAGGTCAGAGAAGGCGAAGGGCATGATCTGGCTGATGGTGTTGCGGGAGAGGGTGAGGTGCACCAGGTTGGTCATGTTGGAGAAGTCCTTCCGGCGGATGACCGTGATGAAGTTGTCCGTCAGCCGCAGCTCCACCGTCCGGCGGTCAATGGATGGTGGCACGAAGAGGAGGCCCGTCTTGGCACACAGCATGGTAAGGGTTGGAGAAATGTTCTGGCAGATGCAACGGCCAGGACAATGCTGAGCTTTCGCCATGGTGCCAAGCATCAAAAGAGGCAGGAAAAACTTTTCCATGGTACTGGCATGCACTGTACCTAGGGAGGCCCTGCGGATGGGAGGAGACAGAGAGAAAGGAACTGGTTAGCCAGACCTTGACCAAACAAGAGCAAGCCTCTGAATCAGGTGCTCTGTCAACAGCCCTCAGCTGCAATACCTTACTGCCGAAATGCTCTAAACCCTGCTGAGCTGCCCCATCATCTGTCAGAGCAGCTCATGTGCATTTTTAACCAGAGATATGGAGGAACTTGACGTTTGCCAAGAGATCTTTCCACACAGGGCACTGCACTACAGGGCTTTTTAATCAGCAGAGGAAAAGCTACTAGGCATCTTCCCAGACACCAACACAACAGAGTCTTCTTCAATAATAAATAACTGCATGTACAATGAGGGCGGGGGGGGCTTCGCAAAGACCCTGGGTAGAAAGCCGGGGATCATCCATGTGTTTGCTTTCCTCTTTCAAACTCTGGAGAAGAGTTCAGCAGCTACACGAACCTCAGGAAAAGGTCCCACATGAGAGAAATGCTCAGGTTGCATGGGAACAACAACAGCCTTTGCGATCCCTTCCCCTCACACACACACACACAGATCCCCTCTCCTAACCCCATGCAGACACCAACCCCACCCTTCCCTATGAAGCACAGTTTCTCATTAAGTGAGACAAAATCGTGCCACAGGCCAGACTGCATAGTTTGAAATGATACCAGTGCTCCCAGAAGTGCAAACGAGGTCATTTTCAGTAGCGCACTCGATAGTGCAACAGGGTAGAGTGCTCTAGCGCTACAGCATTAGGCCGCCCTAGATCTGTTGGCATAGGCCTACAGAGCACACAACCCAAAAAACCACATCACTAGCCTGTCTGGGAGCTCCCAGACAAGCAGCATCTTGGATTTCTTGAGTTTTAAAGAAAGGCTAGACCAGACGGTGCTGAGGAGAACATTACAGGGGTGGGATGTCAAGAGTCGTAGTCCAAAAAGTAACTTTCCCCAAGTTCTAGGTTCTATTCTCTCATTGTGAGACTTTGCTTACATATGTGTTGGCTTCATTTTTATTCCACGGAAAAGGTGCCCAAAGTGGCTGAATGTCTTGAGTGAGACACAACATCGCTATCTTATTGTGCTTTGTTCATGCCGAGAGGTGTTGGTGGGTGTTGGGAGTAAACTGTGTGTGTGTGTGTGTGTGTGTGGGGTGTTGATGGGTGCTGGGAGTAAACTCTCTCTGTGTGTGTGTGTGAGAGAGAGAGAGAGAGAGAGAGAAGAGACTGACACATGGGCACAAACACAATGCCTTCCCTCCCCAGTGCTCTGGCACGCAAATTCTGCCCCCCCTGCGCGCATCCGCTGACCTTCAGGTGGTCGCCCCAGTTTGCTTGCTCCAGATGGAGCCTGGCAGAGGCGGGTGGCTGGCGGCTGCTGCTGACTCAGTTCTCCAGGGAGCCCAACCAAGGGATGCGGCAAAAGGCGGCCAGCCGCTCATCTCATCGCTGTTCCCCACCACCACCACCACTACCAGCTGTATGCGGCCAAGGACGGGGCGAGCTGGCTGGAGCTGCACCGCACCACTCCCGCTCTCTCTTTGGGGAGCCCATCGCTGTGGAGCTGGCACACGTGGCCCTCCTCCTCCGTCCGGGAACGGGAGTGGCTCCCTTCCTGGGGCAGAGGGGTGAGAGCAGCTGTCAGCATGCATGACGGGGCCTGGAAGATCTGCCCCTGGAGGAAAGAAGGATGACAGGCCCTGATGGGGCTTTTATCCCATGCAGTCAAGTGTGACATTATTTTGACCATGCCTGGAAGAATGGTGTGTGTGGCGGAAACGGGGGGGGGAGGGGAGAGAGGAGGTGGCAGCGGCAGAGAGGCTGGTTCTCACGCACACACTTAGGCTGCCAGAAAGGCAGAGCCTGTCACCCACAACACAGGTCTTGCACTTTAGAACCACTTCTACCTGTATAAGGGTCGTGGGGGGGGGTTTGTCCCTCTGAATCCTCGGATCCTTCCGATGCTCCACTGGAGAGCCCCAGCGCCCTCCCCTGAACGGCAGCAGAGACGCCAGGATGAACCGAGGGCCTCCGTGGGGCCCTTTGCAGACCAGCCGCTTCTGTTTGGCAGAAGGGTTCGTGGGCTGGAGCAACAACCCCCCGTCGCCTCTGCTGGGGAAAATCCACGTGGCCTCGCAGTGCCCTGCCCCACCCCAACCCTCTCCGCCTCTGATGGAGGGAGAAGAGGAGAAGGACTCCATTTAAGTGTTTAAAATGGAGAAACACACACACACACACACACACACACACACACACACACACACACACACACACACACACACACAGTGCAAAAGGTCATTTTCCCAGCAACCATGAATCCTCTTGGCCACCTGCTCCTTGCATGGAGGGAAAAGGTGCTTCTTGGGATCTCTCTTAATTGTGGGTCAGTATTACCAGCAGTGGTTGACTGAGTAATAGCAAGTACAGAGCAGAAATGGGTGGAAAATGACAACAGCAAACAACTATGACTACGACTACAACTGCAACCACAACAGAAGCCACAGGGGGAAGGAACGAAAAGCAGCAAGAGATTTTGTTTTAAAAAGAATGCTGTACATAATGGGAAAGTGCCGCTAGGTGGACCCTAGACTGTCGAGGGGGATCCCTGCTGGGAGAAAGGAGGACTGCAGGCGAGGGAGGCTGTGGTGTCCGCGGGCGCGCCCATTGCACCCTACAGCCTCTGCGGGACAGCCAGCTGGGAACCAGGGTAGCTCGAAAGTCTCTTTCCTTCGCTGGTGCGAAGGAAAATGAAATGAGTCAGACTAATTATAGCATGAGGAAATAACTCCTTGGACTACAGCTCTCAGAATCCCCTGACTTTACTTTTTCCTGGGTTTCAGTCCCAATGTTACACATTCCCTACTACTCCCCCCTCCCATTATTTGCAAACACGCCATATTCCTCCCACCCCCGTTGTTAACCACTGTGGATGCTGGCCCTTTTCTGCTTCTGATTCCTTGTTCTCAGTTTGCAGTTCACAGCAACGGTGGACCCCTCCAGATAGCTCTAATTCCCCCAGTGAATAAACCCTACTCAGCAGCATTTCTCCTGAATGCTCCTCCCACTTTGCTTAAAGAAAGAAAGGAATGAAACCGATCAGAAGCCGGCATTCTGAAGGGCCCTGCTGGAAACCCATCAGCCTTTGAACGCCAAGATTAAAAGTGCAGGTTTTGCACAGAAAGGGAGGCAAGGAAGAGGAAGCCAACCTGGCTTTGTTTTTTCCAAAGCATATGCGTTGGGCCCCGTGAGAAGTCTTGCTCGCCAGAGTGGCTCTTCTGGGCCGACATACTGGCCAGTCGAGCCCAACGTGGTCCACCTCCATTGTCCATGGCCCTCCAAAGGCCCGGTTCTGCCCCAAGCCCACCGCTGAAGACGTTTCCTTGCAAAGCAGAGTGTGCGCGCCTATGAGAAACCTGAGACAACCAACGTCGGAAGGGATCACCGTCCTGTCCCTGGACGCATCTAGTCCCATCCGATGACAAGGCAAGAAGCCATCTCAGAGGTCAACACGGCAACTGGACACCCTCCAGATGGGTTGGGCTGCTACTAATACCATCATCCCCAGCATGCATGGATGGTGGTTGGAAAAGCCTTCTTTGTCATCTCGGGAGGGAGGAGCTGGGAGGCCATAGCTTGGCTTCCCTTTCTGGCCACGAGTGCGGAGTCTTCCAACAGCACAGAAGGGGAGGCCAGCATTCACAAGGCTCTTCTGGCAGCAGAGGGGTGGGGAAGAGCCCAAGAGAGCATGTGCAGAGTTCCAGCCAAGTGAGAGATCAGTGACATTGAGAGGGGCTGGGATGCAACTCCCAGCCTCCCTGACCAAACTGTCCCTAGCAGCCAAGCCCATCCACTCTCCACTTTCCCTGCAGCCAGCCAAGGAGAGGCAGAGAGCCAGGACTCCTGGGGGCCACCAGGAGGTGGGTGGGTCCCCCCCAGGACCCGCTCATCACCGCTTCAGAAAAGAGGTCAGGGCCCAGCAAAAGGGGCCACTTCCCCATGCCTGGACAAATGAAATTGGAGCTGCTTGGGGGGCTGGGGGTGCAGTTGTTTGAGGGCTGGGGGGGCATTGGTGGCACACAAAGACCTGTGGAAAGTTCCCCCACATGACCCACACCCCCATATCAGTCGGACGGCACAGGAAGCGGAGGGCAGGCGAGGAAGGACTCCAGCAAACTGGGGGGGGGGGCAGCAATCCCAGACTTCTCCAGAGGAACATCAAAGAGGTGTTTTATCCCCTCTTGGCATCTGCAAGAGAGAAAGATTTCGTGTTCTAGTCTTTTTCTCCACACACAATAGCTTGAAATCCGAAATAGCTTTGTGCAAGAGAAAGAGAGAGTCTGAGCAGGGCTGGAATTCAGCTCGATTTGGCAGAATAATAAGAGTTATGGGGATCAGCCATTCCGTCACCTTTTTCTCTCTCTCTCCATCTCAAAAGGGATGGCATTGAAGAGGAAAACTCCGTCTTAGCTCCAGCCCAGAATATTCTTTCTTCTGCCTCTGTTAAATTGCTCGCGGCCGTCACCTGCCAATTCAGGGTGTCAATCTGGCCACCAAACCGCTGAAGTGCGGAGGTCTCGGAGGGCCGATTAATTGTGCTGTTCAAGGACGGAGAATCTGGCAGCCTCTCTCTCTCTCTCTCTCTCTCTCTCTCTCTCTCACACACACACACACACACACACACACACACACACACACACACACACCCTCTCTCCCAGTCCCTCTAACTGCCCCTTGACCTATTTTGGGATCCTCCTTGGGGTGCACTCTGCACCCTTTCCTGAAATGATTTCTCTTCCCCTTCCCCTCCCCATCCTAAAGACGGAGCCTCCAGTTTTGTGAAGCTGCCAACAAGGGGCACATGAGAAATCCGGAAATTCATACATATTCTCTGCAGATCGGCGGCAGATGTGACAGGTGAAGGCAAGCCGTCTCTGAGCAGATGCTGCACGGCTGGAGAGAGCCAGAGGGAAGGGAGAAGCAGGCAGAAGTGCTAAGTGAAGGGGCAGTGGCTATTC